CATTTTATCCTAAATATATCATATAACTATAATCACCTAATATAAAGATCAATTCTTACCTTTCTTTTAAATTAATTGATTTTTGATATGTCTAAGATTACTTATTTAAATTTATTTTAAATTTAGTAAAATATTTAATTTGTAATATACAAATCATTTATAAATTATACATATAAGTTACTTATAAAATTTTTAAATTAATAAATTTATGATTTTTCTTATATTTCACAAATCTTAAAAAGTCTTTAGTAATTCTTTATATATAAGTTATTTTATTATAAATTAATAAATAACATATAAAATTATAATTATATAAGAAATAAATAAAAATTATTATTATTATTAGAAAAAAAAAGTATTTTAAGAAAAAACTGTAACATAATAGTGATTATCTATCTTAAATTATTATTATTATTATGATGAAAAATATAAATATTGATTTTAATAAAATAATTAAATCTAATTTATATTTTACAAAATTGGTAATTTATTCAAACAAAAAAAATGATAATAATATAGAAATAAGTATCTTATTTAAATTGAAATAAAAATGTAAGTAGAATTAAATAAAAAAAATTTATAATGCATATTTTAGAAGAAATAAATTTTATTTAAACTAACCTGATTATACTTATCAATATGATTCTAATTTTAATAAAATTGAAAATAATTTAACTAATGTAATTATTTCTTTATATAAATAAATTTTCAATACTTAAAAAATAAAATTAGGTTTAATTATTATAAGTTTTAATAAAAAATCAATATTTATAGAATTATTATATAATATAAAAATTCATTTTTATTTAATTAGTATAATAAATAAACTATTTATTATAATTTTTAGTTTAATTTTCAAAAAAAGAAAGATTAGATATGCATTGAAGAAAAATATATATTCTCTTTTATTTATATTTTTAGAAAAAAGTATTTTATATTTATTTAAAACTTCACAAGAAATAAATTTATAATAGAAATATGAAATAATAATAGAAAATTTCATATTATGAAGATAGTTTACTAATAAATATCTGGCAAAAATTATGGTTTTAAAAAATTCTATGACACATAATTATTTAAATTTGAGAATATATATATATAATCTATATTATAACAATTATATATTCTCAAATATTAGCTATTTTCAATGAAATAATAAGGAACTTATGAATAATTTATATGAATAATATCTTAAAAGATAACCTATTTTTAAAATAAATTAATTATATTTATTTAAATAGTAAGAATCTAGTAAAAATATTATTAAAATAAATATAATGCTAGTTAATTTATATTTAAAAAATTATCAATTAAATGATTATGAATTATAAGTTTAGAATTCTATATTTAAAATAGTTAGATAAATTAATATAATATTTTTTATAATAATATATTTATAATATAAATAATGTATACTTTATAATTTTTATTTAATTATTATTGATAACTAATCATTTACTATATATTATTTTTAAATAAGTGAAAATAATTATATTTTAATGTTTATTAGAAGATTTACTTAAAAAATAACAGAATTTTTGAGTTTTATTTTATAAAAAAATAACATGATTATTTACCTTAAATTATTACAAAATTAAACAAAACTTCTATTTTATGATTTACCTAATTCTTATATTTTAAAAAAAAATATAATTCTAATATTATTAATATTAAAATTATAGGATTTTAAAGAAATATATTTGCAGTTAAATTGTATAGCTAATGAATCTAAATTATTATTTTAAATTAAAAAATAAATCTTAAAAAGAATTTTTTAATGATGTATTTATAAAACTAATGAAAAAGAATAAGTTAAAACTTTAAACAGATTAGTTTAAATCAAATCAATTAAGTTATCTAAATTGAGAGGATCAAGTCAGGTTAAATAAAAATTTAATTTAATTTTGATTTAATTTAACTTTAATTAACTAGAATTTTGAATAGGATAAGTCATTTTAGGTTATCTGATTAAGCTAACTTGATACTTTTTTTTCAAATTAAGTTAGTAGAATTATTCTAATTAAATAAAAAAATTATTTAATTTAAATAATAAGAAATTGCTCTAATTTGAATAATAATGATATTGTTTAATTAGAATAATAATAAATCATTTAAAAAAAATGATTATTTTTTTACTGATATAATCTAAATTTTTTAGATCAATTCAGATCAGATTAATTTTAAGACAAGTCAACTTGTTATTTAACTTAATCTGATCTGCAAATTTAGGTCAGATCAAATAATATTTTAACTTGATCTAAAATTAATTTAAAAATCTACTAGCTTAAACTAGATTTCAGGTTATATTAAGTTAGATAACAAGTTATTTTGATTTGATTAAAGCTCTTAAATGGGTAAATAAAGAAAAATAAATTGGTAGATTAATATTTGTTTTAAAAAACTTTTAATACATTATTTATCCTAGATTTCTACTTGTTTTTGATTCTTTTAAAAATAAAAATTGGATAAAATTTATAATAATATAGCAGTAATTTCTAATAGATTAATATTTAAATTATAATCTTTTGATGTAGTATTTAATAAAAGCTTTAAATCTAATGTAAGTATTAGTTATTTTATTTATTATTATATTTATCAAAATATAAAATAAAAATTAGAATTTTCTTTTTATTAATAGGTTAGTAAACTTTATAATAATTGGATAACAAATGAAGTTTATGATCTAATTTTAGCTAAATGTATCAAAAAATCATCATATCTTTGGTATCTTTATGGATAAAAATAGCATAAATAAAAGTTGATTCAAATTTAATTTGCAAATCATTTAAATGTTAATTCAAAAGATGATATGATTTAGATTATGATGATCTTATAGTAGATGAAAATAAGGAATAAATAAAAAGAATAGAGTAATTAATGATGAAGAAATTGATTTTAATGAAGCAATATTAATTTTGCTTAATTTTGTTTTAATAATAAATATAAATAAAAGTAAATTATGTTTAATATATATTTTTATTAATAATTTATTTAAATAATAATTATCACCGGGTTTTTAACAAAATTTCAGCCCAAAACCCTAAAAAAAAGGGGGGTAGTTTAGTCAGTATGATTTTTTGTTATATAGGTTTGATATTAAAATTAAATGTTAATGAAATGATCACAAAAGCATTATGTAAACAATTTCGTTATACTCCTTTATTATTGTTTCAAGGTAACGGGTTTATGATAGTTCCGAAATTTTTTCATAAAACGCCGAATTTATAACTTTTTATTCTAATTTTTTTTTTTTTTTTTTATGGGGCTCAAATTTGTAAAACCGTAGGTTTTTTTTTTCTAATTTTCGAACATCATTTAAGAAGATTCGCAAAAGTCACAAGCAGGATGATTGAAGTAACAAATTCGGGAAAGATATTCACCTTGCGTATGCATTTCTTTTAATTTTCAAATCAACCTATCCTATAAGATAACAAGGAGCCAGAATTTCATATTGTCCCATAAAGGATAATCCGACCTTCACTATGAAAAATTGTAACCAAAATGGTCAAATAAGTGATATATTTTAATCAGACTATTTTTGTACAATCCTTTTGATAACCTGAAACAAGGGATTTGAAGCAATGTATGTAAGCCGATTAAATTTAATAAAAGGAAGAAGTTTTAACTTTATGATTTTTTAGATGAAATATAATTGGTTATGATGAAATTAAAGATATGAAATACTTAATTTCATACACGATCATGATTGGTGATGAATGAGGCGTAGTAAAGGTCACCAAAGTTTTTGACATATTGGTTATTAAAAAAATCACAGCATTCTGTTTTTAAAAAAGATCATAACAACATTAATTAAAATGGCGTAAAAATTGCTATTAATTAATATTTTGTGGACATTAATGATCCGCATACACAATAATAATTCTCTAAATTATTTAAATTATTGTATTCAATAAGTAATCTTTAGATCCAAGGAATAGATTCGCACCACATGTTCTAAATAAATTTTGCTGTATGTAAATACTAAAATCGGATTTGATTTGTAATTCTTTAATTAGTACTATTATGCTTAATTACTTTACTACTAATCTATGGAGTTACTCTTAAAGGTCAAATAATTCAATCTTAACTTATACAATAAGTACTTTGAGCAAAATAGCATTAACAATGAAGAATGAATTGGCTAAATTAGTGCTGTAAAAAAAAAATCTCGGGCCATCTATGCCCACCAATGAGAATTTAAACGTGGGAGGAGGTAGTTTAATTTCGAAACGTCAAGCACAATTAGAATTAATATGCACAGAATAGGTGCATTTAAAGAAAGGCTTTTCGAAAGGAACCAACTTTGAAGTTAGGAATAGGATTCTCAAATACTCGTTGACAAGCCAGCCACCAATTGTTGTCATCTTCCATCTCGTGATTACATTATGGTAAATTACATACATAAATAAAATGAATTCGATATTCCGGAAAACAAACAAATAAATCGTCCAAATTAGGCAATTTAAGCCACAGAGTTTACGTCAGTTAACTTACAGGGACCATCTAATCAGGTATTTTCTATGAAAATCTGATTGGCCACAAACAAACATGCTAAAATTATACCATTTTATATAGGTATACCAATCGTTTACCATCAAAAATAAATAAATTTTTTTCTTTTTTTATGATTGAAAAATCACATATAAGTAAATTTAAAATGGTTTTAATATTAACAAACAAATAGACGTACAAAAATCTGTTTACCCATTATTTTTTTTTTTTTTTTGTTTCGGAGTTATGCGCATATATAAATTAAAAATTTTCACTTTTTTTTTATTTTCTTTAGTGTTTTGTTCAAACTGAACTTCACAGGTCTTTTATTTATTTATTATTTTCATAACATAATTCGTTCAACAGGGTTTGACGCTGGTACATTTTCTTCTAGAAAAAATAAAATAAAATAAATAAATAACTCGACCCGTTGTTTATTACAAGTCATTAAACAACTTTTTTTTTTTTTTTTTCTTAATTCTAATTTCTACTTTAATAAATAATAAACGATGAATAAAGAATTATTATCCACAGTAAGTTTTACAACGTATTTATGATCGAATCAATAATCTTATTTATCAAATTTTCTTAAATTCTTTTTTATCCTATTCTCTCAGGTCCATTCGCGTGACGATGTTAATCTTTCATCTATAAGACAATCGAAATCTCCATTTGTAAAATCACTATCAGAAGAATTAATAAAACTGAGCTCTTCTATAAAACGAAAACGATCAACAAAATTTCCTGCAAATCATTCACAACCTACTTCTCCCCCGTCGAATTCAGTATCTCGTAAATTAAATCAAAGTAATAAAAATGATAAAAGCCAACAACACAAATCAAATAATAATCTTGCTTCCTTAGCAGCTATATTATCTTCTAAAGCTAATTATAATAATAATACACATGTTCAAACTAATAATAATACTTCGTTAAATCATAAATCATCCTTGACGAGGAAATTAGTTTCACCAATACGTTCACCTCCTATACTTTCTAGTAGTAGTAGCGAAGATGTTTCGGATGATGAAACTTCTGATGATGAAACTTCTGATGAGGATGATGACATTTATCCCTTGGGAAGAACAAATAATAATGGTATTGGCAATGGTAATAGCAATAGCGAGGTCATGTCGTCTCATAAAGTTCTTTCTTCCGTGCGTGGAGTTAATGGCGGAAGTCATTCTCGTATGTCTTCAAAATCAACACTTGATTCAAGTAGTAGTGATGATAACGGCTCAGATGGTTTAGATGGTTCAGATTCGACTTCGGGTTCATCTGATAGTGAAAGTGATAGCGAAAGTGATAACAAGAATCTTGATGACAGTGAAGATGTAGATAGTAATAGTGACACTGAAAGTCCTTATAGACCAACAAGACCCCCAAATTTATTGAAAAATAAATCGTCAACGACTGATTTAGATAAAATTATTACTATCTCACAAAAGTCTGCTCCGGTATCAACTATACAATCTCCTACCCATCCTGGTTTGGTAACTTCACCGACTAGTCTTAATGCAAGTTTCTCGCAAGAATCTCAAAAGAAGTTACGTGAAAGAAATGATCAAACTAATGGCGTTTCTGGTAGCAATAAAGGAACCTATATTAATCATTCACAACATTCTCAAGATAATAATTCTAATACTTTGAGACAAAGAGATAGAACTGAAAGAAATGATAGATATTTAAGGGATAGGGATAGGGAATATTCATCAAGAGAAATTCAGCAAGGTCAATCTTCACCTAATAATACAAGACCTTCTCAGTATAGAGGCAGAGATCGCGAAAAGGTTCGTAGATATTCAAAATCCAGAGAGAGAACAACTGATGATTATAGGCATAGAGAACGAGGTGCTGATTACGTTGATCGTCATCGTGCTCATTCTAAATCAAGGGAAAGAGGTGGGGGTCATGATGATATTCATCGAGGTGAAAATGTTTATAGGCATAAGGATAGAGATAATATGGATAGAGGAAGGAAAATGACATATGATTATGACGGGAGGGAACGTAAAAAATCTAAAACTCGTGAACGAGAAAGAGGAAGGGAAAGAGAATTTAACAATGATAATAAAATGCATCGTAATATTAACGAACCTCATCATGATATGGATTCTCAAAATAAACACCAAAGATCATTACGTAAAACGAATGACAAGAGTTATGATATTAGTAAAGCAAGGGCTAAATCTTTAACAAGAGATCTTTCTGGATCATCAAATGATAGCGATTTACAAAGAAGACAATCACGTAGAACAAGAGAAAAGAATGTTCCTATGGAAAGAAATAGATCAAAATCATTGACAAGAGATCTCGAAGGAAAGTCATTGGATGTGAATAAAGAGTCACAGAGGAATAGAGAACGAGAGTTTGAAAAATTAATGGAAAGAGACAGAAATAATGGTCGATCTATACGTAACGGCGGTGAAAAAGATCAGAAGAATTCTGATAATGAAGATGTTAAATACAAGCAGAGAGGCGAACATGATGAAAAAACACACGCAAAGTCAAGAACTAAAGGTGACGATAAAGGAACTCATGAAAAAGAATTTGAGTTAGAAAAAGATCCCAAGTTATTAATAAATCGAATCGGTCTTAAGGTATGTTGTATTTATTATTATTATTTTGATAAATTGTTGTTAATTTTTCTAAATGTATATATACTATCTTTCTATCTTATAAAGCAGCAAAAGAATGAAGAACCATTACATATGGAAAAAGATGAACCAAGGAGTTCTTCTGGAAAGGTGTGTATGAAATGTATAAGATGGATGGATTTTATCGTATCATATTGAATGTTGCCTAATATTTATATTATTGTTTTAGATCACGGCTCAAATATTTATTGAAGAGAGTCAGCAATACAAGTCAATAACGTTGACTCCTGATATGACTGCTCTTGATGTTATGAATATATTCAGAAGTGATAATACTATTTCTGATGCTGGTGCTTGGACAATATTTGAATTGGTTCCTGAATTCGATTTAGGTATAAATCATTGCTTCTTAAACGATTGTTCTTGTAATTCCGATTTTAATTTTTTAAATATATATATATTTTTTTTTACTCTTTATATAGAACGCCCATTAAGAGATTGGGAGAGTCTGGCGTGGATTATTGGTAGATGGGAATTGGACAGAGGAAATTCTCTCGTTTTGAAAAAATATGCATACAGAAATGCTTTAACACTTGCAGTAAGTTGCTATTATGATAGTTTATCACGTATTATTCAGATATTAATTTAAATTTATTATTTATAGGGATTTAATGAGCATGTGCCTCCGATATTTGGAGTGTTATTTGTAGAATTTAAGAAAAGCAAATGGCAGAAGCGATACTTCTATTTAAAGGATGGATCAATATATCATAGCAAAGATACTAAAGTACGTTATTTATGTAAGATAAATTTATTTTGTAAATAATTTGAATTTATTTATTTATTATTTCTTTATACAGGGAACGAATGAAACTTTCCTTTGTTCTATGGTCAGTTTTGATGTGTATATATGCACGAAACTTTCTAATACATTTCCAACAAACTTTGTCTTTGCCGTAAAATCGCAAGATAAAATTACAATGTTTGAGAATCCAGAAAAGGATTATATGCACTATTTATGTGCGGAAAATTTAAATAAGATGAATGAATGGTTATTATCTATTAGGACAGTTAGAGTATGTCTTTATTATTTCATTTTGATAAAATTTAATAATCATATTTAAAATAATAACTAATGGTGTATTAACTTTTTAGAATAAAATAATGCGTGAAGAAAGTCCAGAATTATTTGTTGATATTCCTGTCAAGAATGAGAAACCGAATGTACCAATTAACCTTGCTATGCCATTAACAAATGCATTACCGGCAGCTGTGTCAGAGACAACTTCATTAATGAGGGAAATTTCTTTTGAACTAGCATCAATTAGTACAACTCCTTTATCAAAAACGGTTGGAAATGATACCACTAATCAAGATACAAAAAATTTACCAACCAAAAAATGGAATGCACACCATTTACGCAGTGCATCGGAAGGATCTTTACTAGATTTTTTTAATAATCCAGCCGGAACAATTTCGCCACCATCTCTTGAACTAACGAAAAAAGCATCATTAAGTAAATCTTCATCGTTTGAAAGGAAAGAAGTTAAAAAGATTGAGACCTCTAATGATGATTCCAATAAGAAGAAAGAACAATCAAATGTTTTTAAAGGTGGATCATTGTTGGATTATGATGATAAACTTCCTCAAATCAAACCAATTGAGGCTGAACAAGTTACGTTCGCAAAAGGTTCATTATTGTCAAATGGAACTATATATGAGCAGGCAAAAGAAAGAGAAAAAATAAGAAGAGCGATGGGAGGAGTTGGAATCATAAGAGATTCACATAGTGGAACTTTATTAAATTTAGAAAACAATGTTAAATTTCATAAAGGTTCTTTATTAGATCGTAATATAGAAGGTACTGGTAATGGTATAGGAAATAAAACCATACAACGTAAAAAATCTATGGGTAATGCTTTAAAACAAAATCAACCATTAAGACAAAATAACTTTCAACCTTTATTAAGTTTTGGAAATAATCAAAGGGTATTTGATTTTGATGGAGTTAAATCTTATCCCATTAAATCTCCTCCAATTAAATCTCCGCCCATTAAATCTCCGCCCATTAGATCTCCACCTATTAAATCTCCACATGGTGATGGAGAACGAGATAGTTATTTCTAATATTTCTAATTATATGATTTCGAAGGGTATATATTATATTGGAACTTTATATATAAACAGGTTTTTATATATATAAAAAAAACGGCTTGGGTAATTTTATTTTAGAGGGTTATCTTTTTCAATGTATATGAAGATATATTGTATAATTTTTTATTTATTAATATATTTTTTTTATTATTATTATTGATTAATAAAAAGAATTAAAAAAAAAACTTTAATAGTTAAATAAAATATTTAAATATTTTATTAAATTTACTTCACACCACCGGTGATGTTCAGCAGCTACCTTAGTATTAACACCAAGTTTTTCACCCCCATGTGATTATTGGCCGGCATTACGGCATCAAGAAATTATGAATAAAAAATGACAGATGATTTCGCACCCGAAAAAAATTCTAAGTTTCCAGAATACTCATGAAAAATGGAAAACGCGGAGGGTGTGACGCAGGGAGAAAAATATTTCTATGATTATGTGAAGGTAAAAAACTTGATGATAATACTAAAGGAAGTTGATATTCAGCATTTACCCAAGTATTACCAACAATTTTATAAGTAAAATTCCACTTCACTTGATTGGTAATACACTGCCCTACTATAAATTACCGGATTTTATAAATTTTACTTAGTAATATATAGTAAAATTGAAGATTTTTAGATTATATAAAAGTTTATGAATTTTTAATAAAATACACATTATATTTTTTTATTTAATAGCTAATCAATTATAATTTTAAAAATATAATTCAAAAATATTTTATTTATAAAATGCCAAAAAATACTCATTTTTAAAGTAATAAATAAAATAATTTTATATATAAAAAATGCAAAAAACATATAAAAAAATAGTTGCTTATACTTCAAAATGAAAAAAGTTTTTCATGTTTTAAAAATTTTCTTTTTTCATTTTAATATCTAAAAACTATAATTGATCAGCTATTAAATAAAAAAAAATCAGATGATTTTTATTGAAAATTAGTAAACATTTATATAACTTGAAGATCTTCAATTTTACTATAAATTATTAAGTAAAATTTATAAAATCCGGTAATTTATTGTAGGGTAGTGTATAAGGGATAGGAAAAAATATTTATTACTTAAAAAATTCTATTCTTAAAATATTTATAAAAAATGAAAATGCAGAAGGTATGATTTTAAATGACAATTATAGGATTGAAAAAATTGTTGATAATATTAGGAAAACTGGTGTTCAGCATCTTTTCCAGCATCATTAACAAAAAATCATTTTCACGTGATCATATAAAAAATATTTATCACCTTATGTCACACTCTTCACTTTTCATTTTTTACTAAGTATTTCAGAGACAAAGAATTTTTTTGATATGTAAAATCATATTCATCACATACTATTCGTTATATACATAATGTCTTAACTTACAGTTAATGTCATAACTCTGGTCAAAAAATTACGTGAAAGTGATTTTTTGTTAGTGATTCTAGGTAGTTAGTGTTCAGCACCAATGTTATATGATTTTTTTATATGAATAATTTGTTATTTTACATTACATACTCTATGTTTCATTTTTATTATATATGTTTATTGTTAGCAAAATCACATTCTGAGACTATCTAATAAAAATTGAGATTTTTATTTTATTTTAATATATTACGCATAAATTTTTATTTAGATAAAAAATCAGATTATATAGGACCTTTACAATAAAAAAGGAAAAAACAGCTAAAAAATTAAAAAATTAAATTAATATTAAGTCTGAATATATTTTGACTAAAGATAGTGTTGCAATATTATGACACTTATTTATCACCTATTGCAACTTAAATTTTAATAACATTATAATTCATTGTAATATTATGATTAAAAATAACACCTCAATTAGTTGCAACAGGTGACAAATAAGTATCACAATATTGTAATGAATTGCAACATTATTAAAATTTAAATTGCAATAGGTGATAAATAAGTATCATAATATTTCAACGTCATCTTTAATTATGATACTTATTTGTCACCTGTTGCAACTAATTGAGACACCATTTTTAATTTTGATTTAAAAATCATATTTAACATATAAAAGTAAAATTGATTTTTTCTGACTTCTTTCTTCCTTTCTATTATAAAATCCTATATAATCATAATATTAAAATGAGCACTTAAACTTTAAGTGTTTATTATTAAAATTCTTAATAAATTTAAAATATTATTCTATTGAATTTTTATCTAAATTTATAAGATTAAAAATTAAAAATATTATTTATTTAGTTTATTTTTTTAATATTTCCTTCACATTTATAATTTTAATTATTTGTAAAAACATTGTTGCAAGATTCTGAAAAATACTGAAAAGGGTTAGATTTGAATTTGCATAGAATTAGCTAAAAAATCATATAAATCTTTTCTTTTATAAACAATTTTTGATAATACCAGTTAGGATTTTATTACTTATTATAGTAACTAACTGATATTATTATAATATTAATTCTGAAATTTTATGTATAGTTAATAATAAAATCTTTTTAGTTCTACTTAATTTATATATATTTTTTTTGAAATTCTATTATTGCTATAGTAAATCTTTATTAATAATAAATAAACATAAAAATAAAATTTTTAATATTTCTTAATATAAAATTTTTAATTTACTTCATTACAATTCATTTTAAATTTTTTAAAAAAATTTTTATTCAATCTCTATTACTATAATTCAATTGGAATAATAATTTTGATTATTCTAGTTAAATGTAATAAAATTGTTCAACTAAAATAATTTTTTTTAATATTTTTTTTTATTCTCTTTTTTTTTATTTTTATTTCTTTCTCATTTATTTCTTTTTTTTATATATTTTTTCTCATCTCATCTTTATTCTATTTATTGTTAGTTTCTCTTTTCTTTTTATTTTATTCTTTTTTTATTTGTTCTTTTCTTTTTTATTTTTTTATTTTCACTCTTTTCTTTTCATTTTATTTTTTCTTTTTTTATACCTTCTATTGCTTTTATTAATTCACTTTATTCTTCTTCTTCTTCTTCTTTCTTTTTTTGTTTTTTTTATTTATTTATTTTTTTTATTTTATTTTTTTCTTACTTTTATTTTATACCTTTTATTTCTTTTATTTATTTTTACTTTTTTAATCTTTTCATTTTCTTTTTTTCATATTTTTTTTTATTTTATTTATACATTTTTTTTTATTTATTATATATTTCTTTTCTTTCTATTTGATAATAATTCTTCATAATCTTCATTACTAATATTATTCTCTTTATTATTTTAATCAGTTTTTACTTGACTTTTTTACTTTTATGATTAGCATATATGAGGACCTGAATAGCAAAATCTAAGGCTTAGACTAATCACATAATTTTGAGATTTTACAATAATCATATACCTATAGGTCTAGCCATTCAAAGAATATGTTTTTCTGCACATAATATATTAGTAATAAAAGTGTAAATTTTAACATTTTTTGCAGTTAATTATTTTAAAAATTTTCACATTTTTTCATTTATAAATAACATGGAATATGGTATTTATTTTAATAATAATGGCGCAAATAAAAATATTTTGTTTATTTTAGAAGAGTTAAATAATATATTTTTTATTGAAAATTTAAGTTCTAATAGCGAAAAAAGTGCATCAGATAATGAAATTATTTCTAATTCTAATAATATTGAAAATGTCAAAGACGTTGAAAAAAATTTTATTAAAATTTTAATGAAATGCACTTGAGTAACTTTGAATTTATGGAAAATTTAGATATTTTACTCATATAATATTGATGATATTCTTATTACATTATTATCATTTTTTTTATACTTTCAAACATTGAAATCTTAAAAAAACAAATATTTAGGATGAACTAATTTGTTTATTTTTTCACAGTAACTTCATTAAAAATATTTGTTATATAAAGTTCATGGTTTATATTAAAATATTATGCTAAAGAACTGTCAAAAGATTCAATTATATACATGTAAAATTTTATTATAGGTTATTAAGACTGTTTTATTTTTCTTAGAAGTGATTGTCAAAATTGATTATGTGACTTTAACTTCAATTTACTCAAAATTGCAATATTGGCTGAACCCTGATTTTGCTATTTGGATCCTCATATATTACTTAAATTTTTGGATTTTCACTAATATAAATTAGGTTGCTAATAGTATAAGTAAATTTAGTAATATTATTACTTTATATAGTTTATGTTATTTCAGATTCTATCTTCTTGATAAATCTTTTATATATTTTATAAAGTTCTTTTATCCTTTCTGTTTTAATTATTAGATTAAATATTTTCTTTATTAACTAAAAGCTTTTTTTCACTATTATTTTCATATTATTTTATAATAAACTTTTTAATAAAAATATAATATTTACAAATACTCTTTAAATAAGAAGATATATTTTATTATATATTCTATTATATTAAATTTATTACTAAAAACTACTAAAATTGTTAATATATTTAAAAGTATTGTATTCACTTCTATACTGATATATCTATATACTATCATTATAATATAAGTTTAATATAAATTTGACAATTGAAGATATAAGAATTGTTACAAAAAATGATAATTATAAAACTATTATTAATTAATATTAAGTATATACATAAATATATAGTATTATTATATAGCATAATAAAATACTTGCTTTTTTTATCAATAAAAAAAATATGTTAAATTTTATTAATTTTTGTCAAATCTAAATCTGTAATTAATTAAATAAGTTTTATAAAACAAGTATTAAAATATTTCTTTAAAAAATATGCCTTTTGATGATTTCATAATATTTTATAAAAAAAAAAAAATTAATTATCTTTAATAGTAATTATATGATAATAAAACTTAATTTATACCTGTTACTCAAATAATTTTTAAACTAATTCTATAATATCAGTAGTATATGCTGTAATATATTTCATATTGTTAAAGTTTAAGAATTGTTAGTATTAAAAAATATTAATATAATTTATCAACATCTTTAAATAATAATTATAGTAGTCTTTTTTTTACTTATAGAAA